ATAATGTATCAAAAAATGGGGAAAAAAAGGGGGGATCCAGACCCCAAGTACCTGTGATTACAACTATCAGCGTTTTGTTATTGATAATTATAAACATGTACAAAATGACACTGGTATTACTGTTAAAGTCAATTAATTCTGCACACATAATAGAGTTACTTGTATTTGTAATTTCACGGCTTATATCGGCCATCGTAATTTAATGTTATGCATGCCTGCTTCAGATTCTATCTGTTTCATGTATTTTTCAGATGATTAATCAGGTGAATTTGAATCAGGCAGATGTGTTGTGTTTTTTAGCAAATAGATATAAAATCCTTCCATTCTGGGAGTATTTGCATTTTTAATTAAAGTTCTTCCGTTGTAAAAAAAAAATGCATGGATAATACCAATAAATATTAGACTTCCATCAGAACTGCTACATTTGACCTACATGTACATGTATCTTTGATCAAGTTAAGACTATTAGAGCAGGTAAGTTTGCAAATAATGCGTCTTACATCTACCAGCCTTACGTAAAAGATATCTTAGGTGCATGTGCTTTGCTTCAGATTCTGTATTAACGGAAATTTTTAAACCCTGAAGTTAGATAAATCTCACATTATCCGAACTTGCACAATATTAATGAAGACTCGAATGCTGCATACGAAATTTATTCTCAAGATGAGTGATAAGTAGATATTCTTGAAGAAAATTCATTTGCCAAAGACAATGCTAACGAAAATTGACATTATGAGGTTGGTCACGTGACTTTCTAGATTATGTTTAACAAAGCGCTGGAGACATTTGGAAATTATGAATGTGATGTTACTTCATTTTGTATGTTAGTTGCATTTCCATAACAGTCTTAATTGTATGTATTTGCTACATGAGTATATATGAAAAATATTTAAGGAAAAGATCAAATAGAAATATAAATATATATATAAATTAACATTTTTAGAGTTTCATTGGGATATATTACAAGCGGTTGTATGTTATCAAATCTATTATAACACTCTTCCGGTCTAATAGCATTTGATCACGTGACCCACTTCATGTCATACCCAAAGAAACTCAAAAATGATATCTAATTTCTTAAGTGATTACAAACCTTATAATGTCGAAACGCACGAATATCTTTGAGATACATATAACAAATCGTCGCCTACGTGCTTCAGTGGTTAGAGCAATTGCTCTAGAGCCGCGGGCGGAGTAAAGAGAAAATCCTAACGTCGCGGGTTCGAATCTAACTGCGGGACGTGGAGACCGTAGGTGCTGGCACGGGATAGATCTCTCACTGTTCAAAGGCCGTTATGCTGAATACCGTTCTAATTTTGTAGCCCTCCACCGGGCAAATGGTGGTGTCTCAATTTGAGTGAAAAATTCTCGAAAGGAGGTTAAACAAACCTACCACAAATTAGTATTCAGATGATGCATGTGACCTACATTTTTTTAAGTGTCTAGCTAAACGTTTTGACCACTTTATTCTGAAGTACATGTACTTACATGTACCTGTATTATTGAAGCAATGGCAGACCTCACAAAATCGTAATAAGAATCCGTGTGGCTCTGGCCACTTACTGGAATTCCATCTGAGACACCGGCAAATGTATCCATTTATGCATATCTAATACTAAGGACAGTTTGAAATAAAATTAATTATTCTGTGAAACTCATATAGGGGTTGAAATTTTCTGTAGCTTTTATGAATTTGAATTTTCCAATACCTGCATAACGTTTGTAAAAGTAATCTGTGACAAGAATAATCGGCAGTGGAAGGTTTTCCTTTTTTGATGTAATAAAAGACTATGTATGTTTAGATTAAATGAGAATCTTTTGGAGAAACAAATATATCCTAGCAGAAATATTTCACACATACAAAACTTTTTAAAAGTATTCCACACTAAAAATTTAAGACAAGACTTGCTGATTTAATAGACAACAGCTTTCAACTCGAACCTTCCCACTGGTCATCTGATTCAACACACAAAGTATTCTGCGGTTGATATTTAAAGGATGCTTGAGTCTCATTGACAATACCTATGTACCTTTCAGAGAACATTATTTTATTCTAACACCCCATGTGTCGTATTGTCTCCCGTTATTAGCAAGCCTGTTCTTTTTTGTATTCATACAAATCAGAAATAATTCAAAAACTTTTACTTAAAAGAATAAGTCGCTTGTTGTGGCCTTCAATTTGACATTAAGATATATCGACCACGTTTTATCAATTATTTAGTTTCATTCCGACGTTGATTCGATACATGTACATCCCAATGAACCCGAAATAAGACACCACAGAGTCTGAAGCATGTTTCATATTTTTATCTATTTATCCTAAAGTTAAGTTGTCAGTTTGCTGACAAACTAACAACTACACTTTATGATAAACGTGATGACGTTAACTTTTCTATCGTTAACTTCCCTAATTAACAGTGTATGTAGCAATATACCATTATCATCTGCATATGAAGTTTATTTCTCGTAGTTGATTCGATGCGCAAAAGCATGTTCTACTTGTGAATGATTTCTAAAACGAGGCAGGGTATTGACAAGTTGATGATTGAATGATATCAATCTCGTTAAAAGGCAACATTTTGCAAATTATGTGGTCTATACAGTAATCTTGTTTGCAAATACAATCTAACGTTAGGTCGAATGTTGACTGACGTCCTTCATACAAATTGTTAAGCCATTATTTTCACCCTGAGTTGTCCACGAATTTTTCCATTTACTCGATTATGACAAGGAGCACACGGCAGTGATTACTCCTCCTTGGCACCCGATCCAACCTCTGTTTCCAGAGGTCCGAGTTGGCTCTGCTCATGATTTGTATTTTTTTATTTAACTTTTGAGAATAAACACTTCTTCATTGTCACGTTTCATATTTGGCATGGAAATTATATATACGTGTACTACGTAGAACAAATAATAAAATTTCTCATTCCATTAATGTTTTAATGTTAGAAACATCGTTACACTGTTTGATAGTCTAACTTGAATCCCAAATACCAATACAGTGTGAAGTATCGACACGGCTTTCTTAATTGATTACGACACGGCTTTCTTAATTGATTAGCACTGCACCTGGTTATGTCAAGTAAAATGTATAAAATGACGCTGCTCAATAATTAGAAAAAGCGCCATTCTTTATTTTATTCATAATTTTATTAACAAAGGGGTATACACATCTTCAGTTGGCAGAACAAGTGAGAGCAGACAAAGTAACAGATAACACAAACTTTGAACCGTCTTTACTGAGTAGTCTGAAAGAAAAAAAAATCAGCATTGCAGTAATCTTAATTTTATTCAAAATAGAATGTGCAAATATTTATTGTAGGTCAGTTCACTGTGCACATATTTGATGGGTATCGAGGATGACATTTGCTTAGGGTTTTAGTTGACAGAAGCGGACTGCTTTAAAGTGCTATGTTATAAATCAAATGTTGTAAAATGGGGATAATAACTATGTAATAAATTAATACAACGTATCTTAAAAATCTGATTGTTGACCCCAGATAATTCTAACACCAGCAGAATAATGGCAATGTCTGTAATCTGAAGTTACGAATACTTCATTTCCCGATCATGACAAGGAGCACACGGCGGGTGTGACCGGTCGGCAGGAGATGCTCACTCCTCCATGGCACCTGATCCCACCTCTGATGTTTTGGAGGTCCGTGTTTGCTCTGCACCTATTTTGTAATGTTTAATGGACTTTTGAGCTTGAATGGTGTTCGTTATCTGCATATATTTCGTCATATAAATTCAGGGTTTTTTTTTTGTTTGTATGTTTTTTTTTTTGTTTTGTTTTTTTTTTAATATAAGAATAATGGGTAGAATTTAGAAAGTTGACATGTGAATATCTATCAAAAAAGTAATGAAGTAGTTTAATTAATATCTATCTGTATTAAACTAACTTACATGATCTAATACTTATTAAGGCTTAATATAATTAGATGATTTAAAACTGCTACAATTTATCAACTTAGGGAAGCTCTAACACTGCTCAGGGAAGAGTTCCATTTCCATATCAGTTTTATGTAGTTAGAGTGATCTGCTCTTTGATGGAAAATGTAATAAATGGAAATTTACAGTGAATGGCACAACTTGAAATAGATTTAAGTATTCCTGACATTATATTAAACCAAGATAAAGTAATTGAAAACATTATTTGCAAGGAATTCCCTAATGTAACTAAACAACAATGTTTTTTTCCACTAATGCTTCATTATCTTTGAACATTTTTCTTGGAGAAATATGACTTGTACCCTATGTGAAAATAAACTCGGTATGTACACCTTCATATGAAACACTTTTCTTAAAGTTCAAAAAAGGTTTTCATTGGTGTTTAGAGCTTCCTTAAATTTTATTTAACAATGTTATATCATATAATAGGATAGGGTTGCATTTTACCTTCCTCAAAGAATGAGTACGTCTTCCAATCTGTGATTAAAAATAAGGACTCGAAAGAATCTTTTACTCTGGTCGACGAGGTACAACTGACACAATTACATGCTATTCAGACTTGAAGTGAATAAAATTATCCATTTGAAAAATTACAGTTAATCATTATACCATAATTGTTTGACTCGCACATAATGCAGGAATTTCTTTCGCTAAACGTGTTTTGTGTAAAGCTATGCAATTTATCCGTGACAATTTTCAGGAATCGATTTTATGCTTTTTTGACTTCTTAAACTGTCATTGTGCGTAATGTGAATTCAGTGTGAAACACTTTCATAAGCTCTGATACAATTAATGAAAAATCAATGTTCATTTGAACAATAAGGCATTAATATATGAGGTGCACGTTCTCCTGAAAGGAGGGGAAGAATCAATGACTCAAATTTACCCTCCAAACCCTAACTCTAGCACGGTCATCAGATAATAGTTTACCGAATCAACAATTAATCTACTTTACAAAGACCGGGAGACTTGTCAAAAGAAGTATGCTCTCCGATCGTCCGACCGGACTTTACAATTAAGGATATATGTAGACGCTAACAACGTCATCAGAACGTTTTCATCATACGCGCTCTCTGTGGTGTTGAAACAAGATCCTGATTGACACAGTGTGCGAAGTACCCTTAGCGACGTCACGATAAATTGTCTAGCATCCAATCATTTTCAGTCTCGCGCTATTTATTGAAAACCAAACCGTAGACTAATACAGTTGTTTGGCCTTTGGACTGTTTCGGACACCATCACTCAAAGTGAGTAGATTTTTTAAAAAGATCTTTTAATCTTTTAATTGGCTTTTCTATGTTTCTGATTTGCAGAATTCCTTTTTGTAATTAGATATTACTAAAGATCTTTTCAAACTACACAGTATAAAACATAATTAGCTTTATTTAAAGGATGAGAAATTTTTAATGGAAAAATGAGTTAAATTTTCACTTTGATAAACTATATAATATCATATAGGTCTTCTGAACACGTTTTATCTGATAATAGAATTAGAAAGACAGCTTATACCATTAAAAATAATAGTTTTGCGTATGTTTTAATCACACGGACAAGTAAAAATGAATAATAACTGTTCCCTTTTTTCATATATTTAAATGAGAACATTATACATTGTAGAATGTTACTTAGATCAGAATAGTAGTCCAGGTTTTCTATTTCACATGAACCTCAAAATCGTCTGAGAATTAAATGGTCTTAAAGACGATGATAATAGGTTTTTAACTATATAAATAATTACTGAAATGATACATCTACGCCTTGCTATAATATCTGGTCTTACAAAAGGCAATTCTTCTTTCACTGGAAAACTTAAATACTTAAAGAACACGAAAGTCTACATCTTTGCAAGCAGAAAACTGACATGGTGGTAAAATAGTTATGTTATAACAGTTGAGGCTTATAATTGTGCCGGCAGACTACGGACCATCTTCCCTCCCAATCTCTCGGATTCATGCCATGTTTATCCAAGGGAACTTCGCTGGTAGCCCTGGCGTCTTGTAATTCAATTTGTTGACCGTTTCTATCAATTTGAAGTTTGGGATGTGGAATTGTAAACTTATCACCGGCATCATAAATATCAGAACCTCATAAACGAATGTTTGGTAGATTGCAGAACTTAGTAACTTAATTATCTAATCAAATACATAAAAGGGGTTATTAATAGACTGGTAACTGGTTCTCTCTATTGTCATTGTCAAAATTTCTCTAATTTAATGTTCAGACTTGAACCGTCGATAAACGTATTTTGAATGAAGCGAAAACCTGATTATTTAATATGACTACCATTTAAAGCATTTATAACTGAAATCTATTGATGCTAAACACATATCCGATAGATTGTATATTTATTTACTTTGAATATATGTAACCGACAGACCGCGTGTACTTTAAATATGTAACGACAGACAGTACTTTTTGAAATTTTTTCAATAAAAATAATAAAATTCTATATGTACTTATATATATATATATATATATATATATATATATATATATATATATATATATATATATATATATATATATAAGATTACTAAATGCTAATATATATATATATATATATATATATATATATATATATATATATATATATATATATATATATATATATATATATATATATATATATAACAATTTCCAAAACTAAAATCAGAAATGATCAAAGTTAAATATCCACTTGACCTTCATTGACGTACATGGAGAATAAAAATCAGATTCCGAGAAAATATGACATAATAAATATTCAATTAACTAAATTGTTATTTAAGAACAATTTTAAATTATGAAATAAAACCTTTGAAAAAAAGTTAATCTGATATTTTCTGTGTTGAATTCTTTTAACAAAATTAAAACCATCGATACTCCGAACTAAGTATATTCTACGATCAATTATTTCTGGATGCATCGTCAAACACAGCTGAGAGAGAATATGTAAACTTACATTTTATTCCTCCAGGCCCCAAGATCATGAAGCAGCCAAAATGTCATTCATTCATAAAATGAATATTTATTAGAATCCGATTCTTGAAAATTAAGATTAACAGCTTGAAAGGGAAACAAACTTTAATAACATTTCAAATTTCATGTGGTTTCTATCGTTAGAATTTAAGACAATTGACAAATTTTGACTGCTTCATGATCCTGGGGCCTGGTTCTGTATGGTTTGTTTATATGGAAAAATGTTTCTGTTTAACATTTTGTTAACACGATATCCTAATGATTGTCTTATTCAGATAAAAAAGGGTGAAGATAACGATAAAAAAAAACTTCAAACAATACAAATATGTGAACAGGGCATAAATACGGACAACTGAAAATTCCAGAGATTGGATGAGGTGCCTAGGAGGAGTAAGCATCCCCTGTTGACCTGTCACACCTGCCGTTATTGATCAATTAGACGGAATAATCCGTAGTTGAATTTAGTATAAAAACAAAGGTCTAACAATTGACGAAGGAAAGCATTGCTGATAGTATGAAATATTCAAAATGTCTCTGGGAGTATATGTTTATTAAGTAACTTATGGGATCCTTCGGTTTCTGATTTATTTCTTTGTAATAGTATTTCTAACGTTGATAGTTTGGACCTTTCTGATAAAATATAATTTACTAAATCAGCTACTAGTTCTAGTAAAAAAAATCTGATAACACTTAATTTTCTAAATCAGCTAGTAGTCCTAGGAAACGAATATATAATTTACTAAATCAGCTACTAGTCCTAGTTATCGAATACATAATTTACTAAATCAGCTGCTAGACCTAGTTAAAAATTCTGATAACACATAATTTACTAAATGAGCTACTAGTCCTAGTAAACGAAAACATAATTTACTTAATCAACTACTAGTCCTAGTTAACAAATCTTTCTAACGTAAATCTGAGTTTTTGTAACATTCTCGTGATCGCTGATGCTATTTATCTTCTCTGTTAACCTATAAGACCTACTATTGAGATGTCAAATTATGAACTTAATAATCCATTCATATATACAATTACTCTGAAATACCTATTCTCTTTTCTTATTTACCTGTGGCATTAAGTACCACACAAAACATTAATTAAGAAGAACAGTTAACTATGATACATGTATATCGTTGAAGTTGACATCACGATATCCAGTTTCATGTGTATTGTGATAGAATGTTAGTATTATCATAAGGGATTTGCATTTAAACAATGTATTTGATTCGTTTTGATACAAGCTTTATAAGAAGATTTAAGTTGGACCTACATTTGATTCGATTAACGTATACGCTTTTTGACGTAAAAGGCATCTAGGATATACCCCCCCCCCCCCCATCCCCTAACCCCCAAAACATTGAGCAGAAAAATGCAGGTGCCGAAAACTGGACCATTTATTGTATCGTTCATAGCTGATAGAAATCCAACTCTGTTTGACACATCTAAAAGTAAGATATGATGTGATATCGTTTGGTTTCGTCAACGGCATATAAAATTGATTGCTGAGGCTCAAATATTAAAAGAGCTTTTACGAACAAAACTGAAGAAGTATATCTGTTTTTGACAGTTAATTTTGTCTGGAAAACTGTAAAAATCAGCTGAATGAAAAGGTTCAGTGTTAAGCACGCATTAAGGGACTACACCAAAAAGTTGATCAAAATTCACATCTTTTATCACATTTTCACATCAAATATGTACACATCTATTTAAGCTTTGTCTGAAGAAAAGCTTATTTACTCTTAAGGAATTATTGCCTGACGCCACGTGCGTAAGGCAGTATAAGGATTAATATTTCAGGGATCCGAAACTAAGCGATCATTCTTAATGAACTAGATTTTCTGCAAGCTGATTTACATCGGAATTTGTTACCTGCATTTAAACAAATACAGTTTGCAGAAGAAAGAATCATATAACTGATGCATAATAATGATGTGTTTAATTCCTTCAATTTTTTGCACGCACATATTTATTCTTTGCGATTCTTTGTACGAACATGTCCGTGTAACATTTTTTCTGCGTTTCTAAACTACTGGATCAGTCCATTTGCCTTCTACGAAAGGGGTGACACAATCATTTCGCGCCAAGTGTCACATGTAAATTATCTTCGCGCCTTTTTTTGGGTTGTTCTATTGAATGGGTGTGATAACTTCTATGGAAATAAATAAAGTTTATTCTTTTAACATGATTCTTAAGCTCCAGATTTTTTATTAACAGTAAATTTTATCTCATTTTTTAAGAGAACACATTGTATATGGACAGGCACTAAAGCAATGGATTTGCTGATTATTCTTACTATTTATTCCATAAGTGGACTAGTCTAATCATAAACAAACTCCCTCCACCCAGTAAATGGGACATCCCTTCTTGATTCTGTTATCCACCTAGCCTTTCTTTCAACATTACATTTATTAATAATGTACGTTACAAGGTAAGGTTTTTTAAAAAAGCTTAGAAAGTCAGCGAGTAGCATATTATTTCATGCTTTGTGATGAACAAGGGTTTCCTTTTAATACAGTGACAAGAGTGTAGGTCAGTACCCGTAGAGGAATGGGCTTCACTCCCGTAAGGTTCTAAGTAAAGAATCGGCAAAATGAAGAAGACATCAAGATCTGTACTGGTTTTTATTTCATAAAAAAGCACATTATTTTCATTATGAGAAAGGTCCTGAAATCGATTGAAAAGAAAAACTAACAATTTCAAAACTGTTTATAAAGATGTATTTTAAGCTCATTTATAATACATGTACTTGTTTATGATAGGACCATCATCGCGTGAGTTTTGTCAGGCGGGGGTGGGGGGGGGGTGTTATTAGTATCTTGTTTTGCGCTAGCTATAAAGTGTACAGGTTATTTACTTTGATTTCTAGAGTAGCATTGAAGCATTTTTGTCTCAAACACTTCAAGACAACTTTCCCAGTTAAAACTGTTCATAATTTACTTCGTCGTCGAGAACGACGGAAAACAGACCAGTCTATAAATAGAGGCCGTATCATCAGTCTATCACCTACCATGAAGAAGTGCGCCCTCTAGTAAGAGAGTACACGTAATATGAATTTCTTTAAAACGAATCATCTAACTATTTTCCCAGAATTATCAGTGGCGGATCCAGGAATTTCATAACGGGAGGGTGCAGTAGAAGGCAGGGGGTCTGGGGGTCTGTATTGAAACCCCAGTGGGTCCAGAGCAAAGCTCTGATGGGGGTTCGGGGGCGAAGCCCCCGGAAGCTGACGAATTCTTACAAATAAGAGGTGTTTTTTCCTTGGTTTTAGGACAATGAACATATAAGTTCT